GAGGAGGAGGAGGACGAGGAGGCGGAGAGGGAGTAGGAGGGGTGTAGGAGGAGGGGGAGGGGGCGGAAGAGGAGGCGGAGGGGAGGAGGAGGAGGAGGCGGAGGAGGAGGCGGAGGAGGAGGCGGAGGAGGAGGAGGCGGAGAATGAGCAGCAGCAGGAGGAGGAGGAAGAGGAGGAGGTAGATAGAGCGGCATAGGGGGGCAAGGCAGCGCGACCGGCCGCGTGGATGGGCCCCCGCCGTCGCCGCTCAGAGCGGCACCTTTATCGTGATCACAGCGCCATGCACGCCGATCACCTTGCCGAACGAGGCGTAGTCGAGTCGGCCATCAATTTTCTCATAGTCGTAGCCCTGCCAACTACGCAGCCAGCTCATCCTCCATGACTCCCGCTGGTGGCTTGCCCGTCTTCACCGCGGCTCCCGCTTGGATCGGCGCTCTGTGGATGCTGTTCTTGATGTTGCTCTGCTGCTTCTGCTCCTCTGAAGGACCCCCCTCGGCCTCCGCGTCGGTCCAGGGCCCCTGCTCGATATGAAGCGCGATATTCGCCTGGTTGCTGTCGTAGCACTTGCTGATTTTCAAGTGCTTCACCTTGTTGAGGACTGTCGCCACACTGACCTGGTCCACGAACTTCCCGTGCTCTGCGAGAATGCTCCTGGCCTTGGTGCCAACGTCCTCGGAGCAGAGGGTCGAAATAAGCGTGACGTAGAGGTGTCCTTCTGGTGGTCCCAGCAAATGTCCCTTGCCCGCCTCCTTGCACTTGTCCGCGTAGATCTCCCTGCAGGCCCGGAGCGCCTTGATCACCTTGGTCTGAGTCGGCATCAGGCACGTGCTGTAGACCGCGGAAACGACCCAGGCGATCTGCTGCGTGTTGGCCAGAACTTGCTTGATCAGCACCGTGAGCAACTTCTTCAGCTTGGGGTCGCACTTGGTCTGGTAGGCTTCTCCTCCTCGTTGTTGGCGTCGTACTTGCTGTCCTGAAGCTGCGGCTGCTGCTGGGCTTGTCACGCCCTGCTGCTCTTCCTCTCCCTTGTCCTGCATGCTGGCGCCCCCGTCCGCGTGGTTTCCCTTTGCCTTTGCGCCTTCCTTGTGGTGGCCGCCCTTGCCCTGGGGTGCGTAGTCTTGCGCTGCTTGCTGGAACGTTCCGCATCCGCCATGCTGCCCGCCACCTCCTCGATGTCCTTCTCGTTTGGCACGCACCAAGTTATCCTGGAAGAGGCCGATGTCTAGCGAGATCTCGTGCTCTTCGGTGGGGAGGTGATTCGCGCAAACGCGGTCCTGGAAGCTTGAGAGATGTGCAAACGGATGCAGATGTGGACAGAGAAGACAGACTGGGTTCTCGATCGGCGTCAACGGGCAGTGAAGCCTGGCGTTGTCGGCAATGCAGCGCTTGTGTTTGAGAGATCGCAACAGATGATCTTCGGCTTGGGCTCGATCGAGAAACGTGGTGCGACAGAGCGGACACTGATTGGTGATGGTGACTGCTGCAGCTGCTGATCGAAGCCCATGCCCTCCTCTTTTTGTCGCGGCCGCAGACTTGTCCCGCGTCCGTTAACAGGTCACACTTGTAGTAACCCAGTTCGTCTCCTGCTCGTTGGTCTTGTTCGTGTGGTTGAGGCTCGATACCAGGTGGTGGAATCGCTACTGCTGATGCCCAGGCTCTGAGCTCTGCCACGTCGATCTTGATGAAAGCTGCTGCAACTTCTGCGTCGTGGTACAGTTGAGTGATGCTCCCGTCCCATGCGTAGCTGAATTCCTCGGCGCTGTCTAACTCGAGAATGGAGAGGACGTCGTTGTAGCACTGCTTCGCCATGGGGTTCGCGTCCGCGATGAGGTGGCCATTGTCGTCTAGCTCTCCGATGTGATCACGATTGCAGTCGTTCTCGAACTTGATGGAGCCGAAGAGTGCCGTGAGCCACTAATCGTAATCTGGCGGGTACTTGACAGAGGCCTGTATCATGTGCAGCCTCCTCGCTCGCAACTCGATGTACATCGGGGAGATGTGGCAGTGCTTGAAAACTTCGCTGTTGGCCATGGTGCGGTAGGTGCCCACTTCGTCGATGTTGATGGCTTTGCCTTGCATGAGTACGCGCATGTAGGTGGCAATGACGGCGTCGAGGCGCTTATGTTCGGTGTCCTTGAGGAGGTAGGATTCCATGCCGCTGGCTGCGGCACCGATCACCCTGTTAATGAAGATGATACGTTTGAGGCGTCACGGTACTTTGCGATGTCAGAACTTGCCCATGATGTGCCAGGCTCGCTTGATGCTCTGGATGCGCATGTCAATCTCGATGGTGTTGCTGCCGGCGTGGTGGAAGTGGCCGCCCAGGTACTTAAGGGTGCGAAGGACTCGCCCTTGGACTTGATCTGCTAGGGCTCGGTTCTCCCTCCGCGTGCGAAGGCCTCCGACGATGTCCACCTTGTCCCTGTTGTGGTGGAACCCGTAGTCGGCAAGGCGCTGATCGAGGATGGCGTTGTTGGCGAGGGCCGAGGCGGCGTCCCGCGCAGCGCCCGATGGGGCAAGGTGCATCTTGAAAAAATGTCGTCGACGTACAGGTAGACGGAAAGGTCGAGCAGGGCGTGCGTAATGGGTGACACGGCCGCGAAGGGGGCGGTGTCCTTCGGGGTCTCCTCGAGCCAGTGCCCCACTGGTTGCTCGTAAACGAAGTTGAAGGATGTCGGTCCTGCGCTGCAACCTGGCATGGCCCCCGATCCGATGTAGAAGTCGCCTGTGGAGTCGAGCCCGTCGATCTGGACGCTGGCGCACTGGTAGCGCTGGTGAACTAGACGTTGTTCTGTTACGCTGAGGGCGGTCGGGATGGTCTTGATGGCCTTGTCGATCTTGGTGCTGGGGAAGGCGTTGGTGGCGTCCTTGCTGCCGACGATGAAGTCTGCCTTGACCCGCTGCAGGCGGTAGGCGACGATGCGGGAGGCTGCCATGGGGACTTCGCGACGCCGATGAGGCCAACAGCCGTGAGCATGAGGTGGAGGTGACCACGGCTTGGACTTGCACTGAAGCTATCTGTAGAAGCAGCGCCAGAAGGGGCACAGCATGTGGAGCATGCGCAAGCCGAGGACCTTGGGCTTGCCGTTCTTCTTGTCGAGGGTGAAGCTCTGGCTGTGGTGGGCGTTGAGTGGGGCGAAGCCGACGCGATACACGCGGTTGAGGACTGACTCGAAGCTCTCCTGCGCAAGTGGTGCCTCAGCGAGCTCGTCATCGTAGCCCACGCCTGTCGTCTTCGACTTCTGCTTGGCGAAGTTGGTGGGCTGGAGGGTCATCTGGGAGATCTCGGCGGGCAGTGACCTGTCTGGCACAGAGGCGCGCTTCTTGAAGTACTTGAGCCGCTTGGTGACGCCGTAGAGTGCTCGCTTGATGCCGCCCTTGGCGTCCTCGTATTCCTGGCGAACTTGTAGGTTGTGCTCGGTGGTGCACTCGCAGGTGGTCTCTTTCAAGATGCGCTTCTCCTCCTCGAGGTCGATTCGGCGGGCTCTGAACCCTCCGTGCTGGCCGTCTTGTGCAGTGTGATCTGCCCACTCCTGCAAGCTGGGGCGTGCTCTGGTCGCGCGGCTGTAGTTGCGGTTGCGCTTGCCGTAGTTGGTGCCGGCCAGGAGTCGAGACAGTTGGTGTACTTCAGCGTGTTCTCGTCGTTGCCAAGCCTCGCAGATGCGCTCCTCTAAGTGTTGTCTTCGTTCGGCTTCGTGCTGGCGCTTCTGCTTCTTGAGGGCACGCAAGACGACCTCGATCTGGTACTCGATCTCGTAGTTGGGGTCGGTCCCGATGCACTCCTCTCTGAGCTTGGCGCGCTCCTGAAGTAGCCGCAAACGTTCCTCCATGAGCTGGTAGTACTGGTCGGGCTTGGACTTCTGGCGCTCGAAGAAGGGCTTGGCTGCCTCCTTCATGATGTTCACGATGAGCTCCCAGTGTTCGTCCGCTGTGTTGTCCCCTGCCAACTCCTTCAGCTCGTCCTGGTGCTTGCCGAAATTGCACTCCAGCGCGTCATTGAACTCCTTGCGGTACTTGCCCGTCTGCAGAGCCAGGGCCATCTTGTCGTAGTCCCAGGCGGTCCTCTTTAGATCTGTAAACACATTCGGGGTGATGACGTTGGCGGCTGCAATCAGTGGGACATGGTCGCGCGGCACGTTGTCATTGATGAGTTGAAGTGCCTTTGCCGCTCGCCACCAGACTCTGCAAAAAGTAATGTGGGTACATAGTCCTTGAGGCACTGCAATGTAGTCGGGACGTGTGGCCTGTCCTTGGGCTCCGAAGTACGTGGGCCCCGCGTTCCAGAAGGTGTTCAGGATGCACATGCCGTGCACGTCGAGCACGTTGTGGAAGGCAGCGGCTGCCTCTCCAAGTACTCCTGTAGGGCCTGCGTCGCCGATCACGTTGCTGGGCGTGGCAGGAAGCAGTATGTCCTGGCCGTAGTGGTCGTTCAAGTCGAGGCCGATGATCGGCGTGCTCCTAGTGGGCGTCTCGTTCAGGGTCATGTTAATCCACTTGAGCGTCTCGTTGACCGTCTTGACCCAGGCGTTGTGGTGCTTGGCGAACCCTGACCGTGGAGGTAGGTACGCAACAATGAAGGTCATGTCGAGTTCTCCTCGACGAAGGCGAACTGCTCCTGCGCGTCCTTGAGTGCTCGGCGGTGGGCTGGGGAGCTCAGTCACGCACTTGATGCGGTAGCGGTTGCCGATCATGATGGCCACGCCCGCGTGATTGTTGGTGAGAGGGCCTCTGCCGTAGCCCCACGTGAAAATGCGGTGCTTGTAGGTCTGGAGCTGGTCGACGGGGCTGGTGGGGTCGTGCTGCCTCCAACGAATGGCTGGTAACATGACGACGTCGACTGTGCTGAACTGTCTCGAAATCTCCATGCTTCTTAATGGCGCGACCATGCTGAGCGGGTTGTACACACCCCACCGCAAGAATGTCATCCAGAAAATCGCAAGAGACAAAATATGGATGGCCAGCCGCGCTGGCATGACATGAAGGGTGCCCTGAGGGCGGAAGCTGCTCTGCGTGGGTTGCCTGCTGGGCCGCGAAGAATGGGGCAGGAGCAGGAAACGGCGGCTGAAGAGGAGGAGGAGTAGGAGGAGCAGGAGCAGGAACTGGAGCAGGAGCAGGAGCAGGAGGAGGAGGAGCAGGAGGAGGGGGAGGAGGGGGAGGAGGAGGAGGAGGAAGAGGAGGAGGAGGAACCCTAACACAGTCATGATATAGCTCCACGATCAGCTGTCACTGCACAGAGGGCGCCGAACGCGAGGGCGAACAGCGGGGACGCCGCGGGCATGGGGGGGGCCGAGCGGTGGCATAACACGCGCCGGGGCCACATCTGCTCGGTGATGGGCACCGGGCTCGGCGCGAGCAGGGACGCCTCCGCGGGGCGCGAGCGGCGGCGGCGGCGGCGGCGGCGGCGGCGGCGGCGGCGGCGGCGGCGGCGGCGGCGGCGGCGGCGGCGGCGGCGACGACGACGACGACGACGACGACGACGACGACGATTCGCGCTGCGCGGCCCGACGCGCGGGTATCTTCGCGCCCTCGCGCCCTCGCGCCGCCCCAGCGACGGCGACGCGCGAGGCGCGATTGTCCCCGCGCCCACGGGTGCGACCCTAAGCGGACGACGAGGACGATCGAGGGGGCCCAGCGCCGACCAAAGAGAGCTGCGCGGACATCTCTCAAAGGCTCTGCTCGGGCCCACACTGCCTCGGACACGGGCGAAAATCCAGGCCAGCGCACGCATGGGCGCACTCCGTGGGGCCATAAGGGCGTCACCCACTGGAGCTCGAGGCGTCGGAAACTCTCTCGGGCCAGGCGGCTTGCGTTAGGTCGGGCATGTCCCCCTACAAGCGGATTTTGGGAGCAAAAATATGATAGACCCAAGCAATACCCCAAAAGTGTCACAAAATAATTAAATATCCTCCCCTGACGATTTTTCGACTGTTCTTGAACACTCCTCATGTAGAGGGACAGGCCCGACTTAACATTACTTCCTCGGCGCCGGTCCTCGTGTGGCCGGTGTCTCTCTCGCGAGGGGCGTCGAAGCCGACGGACTCCCTAGAGCGCCGCGTCGGACCACAGGCCCCCCCGCATCTGTGGCTGGCGGGGTCGGAGGACCGCACCACGTCGCCGAGGCGTCGGCGATGCAGTCGCGACGTCGAGAGCGAGAGAGAGAGAGAGAACGTCGTCATGGTCCTGCTTCCCACCACCACCACCATGAGCTGGAGGGGGGGAGGAGGAGGACGAGGAGGAAGAGGAGGAGGCCCCCCTCCCCCTCCTACTTGTGGTGGTGGTGGGGGACAGCAAGCCCACCAAATCGAGCTATGGGTCGCACCCCGTCGACAATGCGCCAGCGGCGCGGCGCGGCCCTCCGACCCCCCGTCTTGCTCTGGCCCCACTCGGGCGGGCCGAAGGGACGCAGGAGGCTGACCCAAACACGCTCCTGATTTTTCTCGATGCCGGGTCCCCGGAAGTCCCGACCCCTTCCAGGGAACTGGTGTGTCATCCTGAATCCTCTTTTTTGACGGTCCGGGCTGACGGTCCGGGGGCCTGGCGGGGGCCTCTGGATGCCAGGAGCAAAACCTCCCGTGCTGACTTTTTCGCGGCGTGAGCCTGTCTGGGGGGAGAGAGAGAGAGAGAGAGAGAGAGAGAGAGAGAGAGAGAGAGAGGAAGAGAGAGAGGGAGAGAGAGAAACAGGGAAAGAGAGAGAGAGAGAGAAAGAGAGAGACGAAGAGAGAGAGAGGGGGGGAAAAAAGAGAGACTGGGTGTTTAGGGGGTCGCCGAGAGACCCCCTTCTAGACATCAACCCGAGGTGGCGGCCTCCGAGCCCCACCCGAAACAACCATCGACTCTCCTGCATTGATGAGAGATTGGGGAAGGGTTCGGATATCGCCGCGTGCTCGACGAATCCCGAGTCCTATCCCCGCCGCCCATCGAGCTGCCTGAGTTTTTGATCGGCGAGGGCAGGAGAGCCTAGAATCGAATCGATAAGTCGAATCGGCGATCGAAACGAATCGGATCGGCGGAAATCGTCAGCCAAGTCGGGAGGAGTCGAATCGGCGAAGATCGGCTGAGCAGTGGGGCCGCATCGAGAGATCGGAGTCCAGATCGAAGTCCGAAGTCGAACCGACTCGGGATCGGAAGATATCGAAATCAAATCGAATCGAATCGAACCGGAGGAATCGCAACGAGCCCTGCGAGGTTAGGGTTGGGATCTCGCCACCGACCCCAACGGTCCCCGAACCGCGCACCCGCCGCTCGAGAGGGGGGGGCGACTGTGCTCTGGGGCCCCGCGGGGCCCGAGAGAGTGGGGGTGGGGGAGGTCGGGGGGCAACTGCTGCCAGGTGTTTGCAAGGCCGATGGAGGGCGATTGAAGCCCGATCGAAGACCAGCAAGACGGAGCCAGGGCGAGGATCAATACGCGTGAGGATACACGGAGGATCCCTGAGATCCGGCGGCTCTGGGGGATGCCTCGGGCGCCGCAGCCCTCGCGGAGCATTCCGGAACGCGCCGAGGGCGTTCCAGAACGCTCTGGAACGGATTCCTCCTCGTCCTAGTCCCGTCCGAAGGCAACTGCTGCGAGGTATTCGTAAGGGGATTGGGCCAGATTAGGCACAGTGGAGCCCAGGATTGGGCAGGATCAGGCTGGTGTAAGCCAGATCAAGAGGGATTCAACAAGATTGAACCAGATTAAGCCGGGAGGAAACGTCGGTGTCTATTTTGGTCACCGTCCATCTCGGTCACCGTGCATTCGTGCATCATCCTCGTGAACCAGCAACGGCCGCAAGGAATCGGCAACGGCCATAGACCATGCCCAAGATCGGCGTCGACGAAATCCCACCACGTGTTGGGCATGGTCATCGTGATTGGCTCACCTCGAGAGAACACCAGCCAAAGAGGAGACGTCTGGGGAGGGGGGGGAAGGGGGAAGATAAGATCAGGCTTAGGTCGGGCATGTCCCCCTACAGGCGGATTTCCGACGAAAGATAAAAAATACCACCCAAAAAATTCGAACATCTAATCAAGTATGGTCAAAAAATGGTCCCTGGCTATTTGTGTTGACTATTGTTGGAGATTCCTCCTGTAGAGGGCCAGGCCCGACTGAAGATTGGGCCGATCACGAAGCGAAACCAAACCGAGACGGATTGCGCTCGAGCCGCCTGCTCTGCCCTGCTGAGCACCTTCGGCCACGATAGTCCTCTCGCTCAGGGCAGGCCCCTTTGAGGCGTGAATCCCTTTTTGGATTCGACGCCCTCTCTGCTGAAGTCGGGCCTGTCCCTCTACAGGAGAAATATTCAGAAATGGATACAACAAAATATTAGGGGACCGTTTTTTGACCACCTGTTGACTTTTCTTGGTTATGTTTTGACTATTTCTAATTTTCGTTCAAAATCCCCATGTAGGGGGACACGCCCGACCTAACTCTACGCCGCCAGACTCTCAGCAATGCAAAGGCGAAGGACTCGCTGTCCAGCCGGAGTTGGAATGGAGGAACATCACCGGCATAAACATGAATTGTTGGCGGTACGCGCGGACTTCTTGGATCTGCGCTGGGCCCCCGCGATGCAGTGATTCCTTCTTCGAGAGATGCAACAGTAGCCTTGATGAAGCAGCGCATCCGTACTATGGATTTTGACTATAGCCATAGTCCATGTGTTATGGACTTTCCTCTTCTCTTCCAGGTCCCATACTCGACCAACAATCAACGACACCATCCCACCTACGGCGGTCCGTTTTGCGCTACGGTCCATCGGGGGCCGTAGCGCATATCATGCAAAAGCCCAAAGTTGGAACTCATGGTATATGCTACGGCCCGTCGGGATGCAGGTGGGGCGGTGTCGTTTGTCTTTTGGCCCACGTATTTCCCCCACACCTTTGTCAAAACCTACGCTCTTGTGTGTCTGTGCCTCTGTCACCCTCCCAAGTTTGGGCGACGCCGCGCCGGGGGCTGCCTTCGTCTTCTGTGAGGCATCCCCGATGTCGTAGAAGACCTGCGGGCGCGCAGTGGGTCAACATTGCCCTGCCACCCCGGCAGCAGTTCGGTGGCAACTTGTGGGAGCCTCCCGTACCATCTCGTCGGCTCTTGCAAATTGACGCTAGCCGACGCTAAATCCACGCCACTCGACGCAACATCGACGCAAGATCGACGCTAGCCGACGCTGAATCGGGGCTATCTGATCGACTCCAGACGCTGATTGACGCTAGTCGACACTAGAGACGGCTCAAGAGGGACGAGGAGGAGGAGGAGTAGGAGGAGGAGGAGGAGAAGGAAGAGAAGGAGGAGGAGGAGGAGGAGGAGGAGGAGGAGGAGGAGGAGGAGGAGGAGGGAGGAGGGCATGCCAGACTCTCACGATCTGCCACCGAACGGGAGCAGCCGTCGGCACCGCCGACGGACGAGCCGCCACCGAACCTCCCGCCCCGGCGCCGGGGGAGCTGTGCGCCGACCGGAGCAGGTCTTCCAACGGCCTCTCGACCTCAGCAGGCCGTCAACCTAGGGGCCTCCTACACGGGTTCCGAGGAGACGGGGTCGGAGAATCGCGCCGCATCATCGATGCATCGCCGATGCATCGTCGACATCGGCAAGACATCGGCGACGTCGACGTGGAGGAGATCGGGCTCCACGTCGAGCCGCGTCGTCGATGCATTGGCGATGCGGCGCGATCCTACGACCCAATCTGCGCGGACCCCATCTGGGAGGCCTAGATAAACTGCTGCGACCTGAGCAGGTCGTTAAACTGCTCCGAACTGCTCCAAATTTAGGCTTGGCGGGCGTGGGCGTGGCCTCTAGGGGAAGAACGGGACAGCCAGAGAGAGCTGGACGGGACAAGACGGCGCAAAAACAGCCAAAGAGAGTCCCAAAAAGCACCCATACGTTCCGAGACGGCTCAAGATGGCCCAAGATACCTCCAAAAGGCCCCCAAGAGACCTCTACGAGGCCCCGAACAGGCCCTCCAGAGGCCCCAAAGATACACCGAAGGACCACAGGAGAACCCCAAAATGTTCCAACAATATCCAAAGCAGAACGTTCCGAGACGGCTCCCTCCGACCTCCGACCTTCCGACGAATCCACAACCTTCCAACGTCCAACCTCCAGAGCGAGTGTGACGCACTGTCGTGGAGCAGAGAGACGTAAGAAAGATGCGAATGACATGCCCAAAAGGCCCTGAACGGACTGCACCAGACCGATCAAAAGAGCCTCTGGCGAAGCCCAAAACGCGCCAGCAGCGCCTGGGGGGACTCCTCTGAGAAGGGGCCCTGAACATCGACCTGCAATCGGCACTGCATTGCCGATGGATCCGCGATAGGTACCCGATACAGGGAACCCGCATGTTCCTGGGCGGGGTGGGCTATCCAGCCCCTGTTGGCGATGAATGGGCGATTGGGGGTCGAGGCACTTCCCTGAAGCCGATCCCGCTCTGACGTTGCCCCTGATCCGGTGGATGGCGAACGATTCAATCCCTGCCCCCCCCACGGCGTTGCGACGAGCGCCCACGCCGTCCCGAGGACCCCCCAGGCAGGCAGGACTCGAGCTAAACTGTGTATGTCGTGTCCCTCCTCGCTCTCCATCTCTTTGCCAGAAAAAAGAACTCAAACCGAGAGCGGCCCGCGAGATCGCCAAGCACCGCTTGGCTGGAGCCCTGCCGCCAGGGATCGCCGCAAGACGGGCCCCCCCCGGGCCCCGGAAGGAGTCCAAGGATGCACCCCCGGGAGAGCCCACGGGGCTCTCCCCCGCAGCCCTCCCGCCCGCGAGCCAGGCCCGATGGCGGGCTGGGCCGCGGGCCACCAGATCGTGCGGCGGGTTCGTATCCCAAGAGAGGCCTGAGAGAGCCCCGAGACGGCCCAGGGAGGCCCCCAAAGACGGCCACCGAAGGCCAACAGGTCTCTCAGAGGCTCCCGGGGGACCCCAGGAAACCCAGGAGGCCCACGGGAGGCACTTCAGAGACCCACAGACGGGCCCCAGACGGGCCCCAAGAAGCCCTCAAGAGGCCTCGTTGTCGTCCTCCTCATCTTCCTCCTCCTCCTCCTCTTCTTCCTCCTCCTCCTGCTGCTGCTGCTGCTGCTTCTGCTGCTCATGCTCCTGCTGCTGCTGCTGCTACTGCTGCTGCTGCTTCTGCTGCTCCTGCTCCTGCTCCTGCTCCTCCTCCTCCTCCTCCTCCTCCTCCGCCTCCTCCTCCTCCTCCTCCTCCTCCTCCGCCTCCTCCTCCTTTCACAAACATGTGTTCACAAAGGGTGCTCTCAACGGCTGGGAAGACATGTAGTCCAACAACCTGGCCGGATGTTGTGCCAACGCTTGGGGACATGGGCGACTCAAGCAGGCAGTGGTTGTTCTGTTCTGTGAAACATACACACATGCACGTATACATACATGCACTCATATGAGAGAGCGTGATCCACCGCCGCTTTACTGTGGAAAATTGCCAAACTTTTCCTCCAGAACCCGGGGGTCGCACCCCCCACCCCCCCCCCCCCCCCCCCCCCCCCCCCCCTCCGAAAATCCCCCCCCCCCAGCTGGAACCCCTCCCACCCATCCCCCTCCCTCCCCGGCAAACCCCCCCCCTCCCCACCCTCCCCCCCCTTCCCCTCGAAAACGGGGGGGGGGTCACTACAGGTTCGAACCCTCCCCCCCCCCCCCCTCGAAAACGCGAGGGGGATTCTAATATCGCTTCGGAAACCCCTCCCTCCCACCAACTCAACCGCGCAAACGACTCCCGGTCCCTACCACCGTCCGCATCACATCCTCCATTGTTGTTCCCAGCACCACTGTCCTCACCACCACTGTCCCCACTGTGTTCCCACCAGTGCCCCCACCACTGTCGCACTGTCCCCACTGTCCCCACCACTGTTCCCACCACGGTTCCACTCTCCCCACTGTCTCCACGGCCCCAACCACTGCCCGACTATCCCCACTGTCCCCACTGTCCCACTGACTCCGCCGCTGTCCCACTGAGGTGTCCCACTGTTCCCACCACTGTCCCCACTGTCCCCACCACTGTCCCCACTGTACCTCTGTCCCATTGTCCCACCGCCGTCCTCGCCACCGCCTTTACCAGTGTCTCCACCACCATTGTACCCTCCACTGTCCCAGTGTTTCCACATCATTCCCACTGTCCCCACACCACTGTCCCCACCACCACCGTTCCCACCACTGTCCACTGTCCCCCCTGTTCCCACCATTGTCCCCACCACTGTCCCCACCACTACCCTCCCCACCGCTGTCCCACTGTCCTCCCACTGTCCCCACCACTGTCCCGCTGTCCCCTCACCACTGTCCCCACCAACGCCGTCCCCACCACTGTCCGCACCCCCACTCGGTTTTCGAAGGGGGGGGGGGGGGTATTCGAACCGGTAGTGACCCCCCCCCCCCTTTTCATGAAGAGCTGGGGGGGGGGGGGATGGGGTTCACCGGTAGTGTACCCCCCGGTTTTCTGGTGGGGGGGGGGGGGAGGGGTTCGAACCGGTAGTGACCCCCCCCGGTTTTCCGCCAGCAGCGGTAGAACACGCTCTTTCATTCATATGCAACTGTCTCGAGACATAAGCATGCGTTCATAACTATGTACGTACAGACACCTGTACACATGCACATACGTACGAAACGCAAGTCAGAGTGATGGGGCCGAACGGTCACTCATTGTCCCTGGGTGCGTGGCTAAAGTGGGGATCCGTGGTGAAGATCATGTGTGTTGCATTGGTGTTGATTGTTTGTTGTCGTCGTCCAACCCGCGACCCACCCCGCGACCTACCCCGCGACCCACCCCGCGACCCACCCCGCGACCCACCCCGCGACCCACCCGCGACCCAACCCGTGACCTAACCCGCGACCCATCCCGCGACCCACCCGCGACCCACCCGCGACCCACCCCACGACCCACCCGCGACCCACCCCGCGACCCATCCGCGACCCACCCGCGACCCACCCGCGACCCACTTGCGACCACCGCGACCACCACGCGACCCAGCCGCGAACCCAGCCGCGACCCAGCCGCGACCCAACAGCGACCCACCCGCAAGCCCACACCACGCGACCCATCCCGCGAACCACCCGCGACCCCGCGACCCACCCCACGACACACCGCGACCCAACCCGCGACCCATCCGCGACCCACCCGCGACCCACCCGCGACCCACTTGCGACCCACCCGCGACCCACCACGCGACCCAGCCGCGACCCAGCCGCGACCCAGCCGCGACCCAACAGCGACCCACCCGCAGCCCCACCGCGACCCAACCGCGACCCATTTGCGACGGACCCCGCGACCAACCCGCGACTTACCCACATTGGTTTAACGAAAAAATCGGCGCCTGCGGCAGGCTCGTTGCATGTGTGAAACTTTGGCGACTGCGGCGGGCTTCTCTAGAGTCCCGCAGACTACCGACGTCCCCACCGTCCCCTCACTCTTATCCGCATCTGCGGGGTGCTATGGTATTTTGCACGGCTGTGCGTACGGCATCTCTTGCGCTAAAAAAGAACTGCAGACAATCTTAGGCGGCGCGCCCATGGGGGGGAAGTGAGAAGGGGTGGGCCTTCTCAGAAGGCTCGCAAGTCCCCTGGCCTTCCAAGAAGTTTCTCAAGCCTTCCACGAAGCCACAATACACTTCTGAGAAGGCGCGAGAGCTTCCGAGAAGTCCCGCCGCCTCCTGAGAAGGCCCTCTCCTTCTCACTTTCCCCATCGCTCGCCACCGAAATCTGCACAAAGATGGGGGAGGAGGGGGAGAGGAAGTCGAGGATCAGGAAATCCCCAGAGGTCACTGCACCGACCCTGCACACGTGCTGCAGCGGATTGTTGCTCGGACTTCTGTCAATGCAAAACCCCGACACGTCGAGCGAAAAACGACGTGGATTTCACGTGGATTCCTTGTAGTCTTCATTCCTGGCCACCAAAGGAAAATCCACACGACATTCACGTCGAAATCGGGAGGGTAACTCTCCAGGACCATTCGGGCCCCTCTGATTGGTCTCCGAACCAAATCCGCTCTGCGATGCTGGCGCCAT